AGAGCTCTCTCCCAGCACTGTGCCGTGGCAGTGCTTGAACGTTGCCAGTGAAGACATGCCCTTTGTAATCTGGAGACTGATTCTCCATGGACTTGCACCTCGTGCAGGTAATTTATATTGGTACAAAGCGGGTGTAGACTGCTACCATTGATTTGGTAACACTCACACCCACTTTGCACTGGTGCATGTGACTACACAAAGTGCAAAGCAGTAGAGAGTCAAACCCAGAATGTCCTTTTCACTGTCTGACCACATTGATCTATTTTTCATTGTGCAAGTGGAGAGGAACCAGTGGAGTCAGTTTCACTTTGGCTAAGTGTCCCTGGGCTGCAAATGTTTCAGGGAGGAAGCGTTGATTTTTGTTTTAAGTTAACATTTCTGTGCATTTTAAAAGTAAATTGAGGGAAATTTTCAATTGGTATGGGGTTTTGCAAGACTAAAAATCCAAATGTAGAGCCTGATTTGAGTTGCTTTCATCCCTTTTAGCAAGACATTAATTAAAAAACAACGTTGACGTTCCACAGAGGTTTTTCCGCCTCCACTGTACTGCTCAAGTTGTTTGTATCCAGAAGTAGGAGTAACATAGATGCGTGTGTTCATATTGACTAGAGGAAATAACAAAGGCAGAATTTTTCTTATATAAACAGAGACGGAGGGGAAGACAGCCTAAAAATAAATGACCAAAAAAAAAAAAAAACCCCGAATAACACAAGGCAGAGACATCCCCACAAGATCTAGGGCAACTGCTCCTGACAGCGCCCACTGAAGTTTATTATGCATTTTTGAAACCTTCAGAGACACTGCCTGGAATCTAACTTGGTCTGTAACCGGTTGCTAGAGTCCCTTCAGAATGATTTTTAATTCTGTCTGAAATGATCCAGAGTCAGGTCTGAAGCAAATAAAAATTAGAGGGCAAATCCTGCTGACTTTGGGCCTGATTCACCATTTCCATCTGTGAAAAATGGGTATAAAATGCTACCAAATCAAAATGGAAGTATGGTCCATCCATTCTGTACCAGTGTAATTGAAACCACATGGTGTAGGTCATTGGTGATTCAGGCCCTGTATTCAGTCAAAGTTCCCACTGAACTTCTGTCCTATTGAACTAAATGGAACCAGTTCTCCTCTCACTTTCACTCCTGATTTACATCAGTGTCTTGATCAAAGCTAACCGCTTAAATAGATATGAGAGAAGAACCAGCCCCAATGGAAAATTTGTCTGAAAAACAATAGTAGGATTTTGGTGCCTGGTAAACAAAGCAGAAAATCCAACAGAACACTTTTGTGATAGCTCCTCCCACCAAACACAGATGTTTTGCTGTTTAGCCTGAATATTTAAGATTCCACTTTCACTATCCCACCCAAAAGATAATCAGGAACGCCATAATCATTTCATCACCAAAGGCAACGTTGGCAGCTCTACGAGAGGCCTAAGCCCGATCCTGTAAAATGCTTTCGTCCCTGCTTAACGCTCTACTATCATGAGCAGTCCCACTGAAGTCAAAGTGACTATTGGCTTCAGTGTTTGCAGGATTGGGGCCCTAGTGAGCCAAACCCCTGAACTTGCAATGCCAGCGTAGCCCCACTTAACATGCATGCAAGAGTCCACGCTAGCAGATCCAGCTACAGGATTAGCATATAGAATTTTAAGGGGAAGTGGCTGTAGGTTGCCTGTTTCAGATCTCTGACTTTATAATGAATCACACACCCAGGCCTAGGCATACACACACTTACCAGCTCCTCTGCACAGTGAAATTGACCAGAATAGCTACCCTGCTGTTCTATTCCAGGCAAGGGGGGTGAGGCAATATCTTTTATTGGATCAACTTCTGTTCCTGCAAGAGACAAGCTTTGGAGCCAGACAGACAAAGCTCTCCTTCAGACGCTCATTCCAGAATAAGAGTGGGTCCACACAGGCAGTTATTCTGGAATAGCTATTGTACTTTAAATTCATGCCCAGCCTTATTCTGGAATAACTTCTCCATATAGACAAGCCCTTTTAAAGGGGAAAGTACACATCGAAACTTAGAAACCTGCATTTTACTCCTATAATTGGATTTTGCTGAATGTGTAAATCAATGAATTAGAGCAGGAACTGCATTTTCCCTTTCCATGGCATTGTTAGGGCTTAGCCTACGGTTTGTAATGGAAACACTGAAAGTCTCAGGGATCAGCTACCTGGGAAGAGCAGATGCAGGATTTGCTTGACTGCTTAAGAACATAAGAACGGCCACACTGGGTCAGACCAAAGGTCCATCCCCTCTCTACCAACAGTGGCTAATGCCAGGTTCACTCCCTCTGGGGCACCTAACAGGTAATGCTTCTTGTCTGCCATATCCACCTCCTCAAACAGACCCTCCAAACCAGCTCTGCCACCATTAACTGCTTCCTATGCAATGGGCCAGTCCCCTCTCAGTTCGGATGGGGTCATTCTGGGATGATTTCATTGCCTTCAGTGGGGTGATGCCACAGTCACACTGTGTAAGCAAGAGCAGGATCTGGCCCCCAGCTCCCCTTTCCTTCCCAGAGCTGACACCTTCCAGCCCCTCCTCACACACACAGCTCACTAGAAGCAGCAGCGGGTGCCCTACCTGGAGGCTGACTCCTTCCTTCTCCCCACCCACCTCCACTCCCCACCGCCTGCCTAGCCAAACGCAAGCTGCCACCCCGCAGCCCAGGCGGGCTGGGCCATTCCCGGGACAGCAGCTGCGACCGGAAGGGGGGAAGGCGGGGGAGTAAACTTTTCACCATCCTCCAGCAGGATGGGGGTGGAGGGTGTCTCTGAGTCAGGTTCCTCTTTCCCACGCGTCTGGCCAGCGGAGAGGGTGGAGAACACCCCGGCCCCGAACCCCGTTTGGGCTAGCAGAGCGCTTCGGGCTGTGCGCTCCTGCCCACACGTGCGCCCCTGGGCCAGGCTGTGCGCTCCCCTCCAATCGCTTGTTACAGGGGGCAGGGGCAAGGGTGCGCTCCCACCCCGAAGCCCCCTGTGACGCAGGATCGGGTCCCCAAGCTCCCAGCGCTGCGAGGAGAGGGACTGGGAGCTGCCCTGCCGCATTTGGGAAGCGGAGTTCCCCATTGCGCGCTAGGGAGCCCGGGCGCCGCCAGCCGCAGCAGGGGAGAGGCGGGTCCCTATCCCCCAGCAAGCCTGCGGGGAGCTCTGCCTGGAAAACCGGCCACTCACCCGCTGCTCCAGAGGCCCTGGCGTCCGCTGCTCTCGAGTGTGGCGGGGAAGCTAATCAGGAACCCCGCTGGGCTTGACACATAAGGACAGGACACGCCCTCACTCAGGGGTGGGGACTCATTGGATTCCAGGTTTGGAAATAACCCGTCACTAACTCCGCTTTCACTCGGGGGAGGGTGGGTAGCTAGGGAATCCTCTCCTCTCCCTAGCTCTGAGGTTTGGGTTATCAGTATCACTCAGGGGGAGCACCAAAGCACATCCCCCCTCACTAAACCCAGGGGCATGAACTCAGTCACAATATAATTCACAATTAAATGGAGACTCTTACAACTGGGGTTCACCTATCTAGCCATTCCTCTCAGAGCATATATTCCTTCCACTTACAGTATCTAGCTTAGATTCGGAACATAAGTGCTGCCCTACTGCGAACAATATCCTATTTTAGGGGAGTGATCCACTCCTATCTTCCCCTCCAGCTTCTGGCAGTCAGAGGTTTAGGGACAACCACAGAATGGGATTACATCCTTGATCATTTGGCTAATAGCCATTGATGGACCTATCCTCCATGAATTTATCTAGTAATCCTTTTTGAACCCAGTTATACTTCTGGGCATCACAACATCCCACTGCACTGAGTTCCACAGGTTAATTGCATTTTGTGCATTCCTGTTGTTTGTATTAAACCTGCTGCTTATTAATTTCATTGGGTGACCCTGGATTTCTGTATTGTAGCAAAGGGTAAATAACACTTCCCTATTCACTTTTCCCACACTGTTCATGATTTTACAGACCTCTACCAAATCATAGAATCACAGAATATCAGGGTTGGAAGGGACCTCAGGAGGTCATCTAGTCCAACCCCCTGCTCAAAGCAGGATCAAATTCCCAACTAAATCATCCCAGCCAGGGCTTTGTCAAGCCGGGCCTTAAAAACCTCCAAGGAAGGAGATTCCACCACCTCCCTAGGTAACGCATTCCAGTGCTTCACCACCCTGCAGTTTTCTCTTTTCTAAGATGAACAGCCCTAATCTTTTTACTCTCACCTTCTCTGGAAGCCATTCCATATCTGTTATATTTGTTGCCCTTCTCTGAACCTTTTCCAGTTCCACTATCAGGGCTGGCCCGGGGGGGGGGGGGGGGCAAGTGGGGCAATTTGCCCCAGGCCCCGCAGGGGCCTCCATGAGAATATAGTATTATATAGTATTGCAACTTTTTTTTATGGAAGGGGCCCCCAAAATTGCTTTGCCCCAGGCCCCTGAATCCTCTGGGCGGCCCTGTCCACTATATTCATTTTGAGATGAGGTGACCTGAACTGGACACATTATTCAAGAGGCAGGCACACCCTGGATTTATATAGTAGCATTATGATGTTATCTGTCTGATTTTCTATCCCTTTCCTTGTAGTTGCTAACATTCAGATAGTCTTTTTGACTGCTGCTTCTCATTGAGCTGAAGTTTTCAGAGAACTATCCACAATGACTCCAAGATGCCTTTTTTGAGTGGTAACAGCTACTTTAGTGGAAACAGCTACCCATTATTATATATCTGTAGTCGGGATTATTTTTTCCAATGTGCATTCCTTTGCACTGGTTGTAAACTCTTTGGGGACAGAGACCATCTTTTCATTCAGTGTTTGTACCACACTTAGCCCAGTGGGCTCCTGGTCCATGAATTGGGCTCCTAGGGTGTTATCACTGTGCAAATAATAATTAAATCATCTAGGTAGCTATCATTTGTGTGTAGTGACTCTCCCCTTTGTATCTAAGCATGGGCTAAAATTAATGAGCACAAATGCCCACAACAAAAAGTTGTTCATCCCCATGTTGTTTATTAGCATTTTCCCCTCTACTTAACAGTGATGGGTCATTCCCTTTGCTCACAGTCCTCACCTTCAGGCCCTTTGTGCAGTGTGAGGAAGCTCACCAGGAAATCCCTCTTCTCAGGTTCTCCTTTCCAGCGTGTGCAGAGGGAGGCCACACCTTGTTCATCTCTCTCCTGTGCAATCCGCCCTCTTGCAGGAAGTTACCATGACTTCAAATTGGCAGCCTGAAGGAAGGCAAGCTGTGTTTCAAAGAGCATGTCTGTACAGCTAGCTTATTATTGTTTCCATTGCAGCCTGGGCTCCAGCAGTTTCTTTTCCAGCACAGGCTGAGCTCTTGTGCTATTCCTGAAGTTTAAAAAAATAAAGTTTCTTACTGTTTCATTGGAGTGAAGGGGTTGTGGAGGGAAAATGATACACAGGGCACAAATACACCATAGAAATACAGAGGCAAGGATCCCACTTACAACACTGATATCCTTCTTATCTATCTATCTACCTACTTATATGGACCCCAACTCTGCAGTATCTGAGACCATGCTCTGCTTACAACAGGGTTACAACTTGTAGTGTGGATGGGATCAACATGTGTTGTCCTTGGGTGATATTCTGACCCTATTGATTTAAAATGGCACTGACTTCAACAGGACCAAAGTGTTCACCCATCATGTCATGTAGCTAAGACAAAGCTTTGGATGTACAATGGATAGTGAGAACACTAGCCTCTTTGCAGAATTGGGCCCAAAGATCCCAGGGGGTGAAAAACAACAACAACAAATAATCCAGTGGGCTGTATTTGGCTTTCAAGTCTCCAGATGTAAATCTAGAGTCATTCCAGAACTGAGCCCAGTGCTCCTCCCCACCCTCCAGCCAGGCAAAATACCCATCTTCTTTGAGTATTGTCAGTATAGATCCCAGGTCTGATCCTCCGTTGGAGGATCTGCATGAGCTATGCTGATTTACACCAGCTGTGGATCTGACCCCCTGACTCCTGGGCAGCACAGAGACCCACACCCAGGAGTTGTGGAATAAACAACAATAAACTGACAATTTATTCCAAGAGCACCCATTCCCCCCTCACTGCAGCATTTCACGCCTACTGTTTTCACTTCTCATTCATTCCTATCCCATCAGATCTGCCTTGTCTTTTTCTCTGTTCACATACACTTTTCTTCTTCCAAGGACCCTTTGAACTACTTGCCAGGGTGCTGCCAAGTCTTTCCTACTTATGTTGCTGCTGCTGCTTTTTATTTTTTTAGCACATGCCCTTTGGAAAGCTGCATCTGCTGTTTGCTTTCCAGCCCATGTATTTTTCAGCATTGGATGGCTCTGCCCTTCAAACCAACGGGGTTAGAAGCAATAATGATTTCATGCTGACATATGTTATTCATCATTTCATGTTATTCAGCTTCTGAAAATGCTGCACAGTTCCTGCCATCCATGCTCTGTCTAATCGGAACCCCCCCCCCCCCCGGGGACAGACTCCAGCTTGGGGAGGTTGATTGGTTAACATTTGGGAAGCACTTTGAAGATGGAAAGTGTTTTTATAATGTGCAATGGTGCCCCAAACCTATTCATTTGCAATGAAATGTATTCTGGCTCCCCAGATGTCGGCCCTTCAATCCCTGGGAAGCTACTGCACATGCTGGCTCTGTAGCCTTCTGACTTATTCAGAGGCAGGGCTGCTCCATCACATAGGGGATGAGCCCTAGAGGAAAAATACACAAACTGTACAAAACTCTGGCTCTACCACTGAGATGTTCAGGGCCGGTGCAAGGAAGTTTCGCGCCCTAGGCGAAACTTCCACCTTGTGTCCCCCCCACCCCAGCAGCCCTGTGGCAGCTCCCCCTCCCCCGCCCTGAGGTGCCCCCCGCCGTGGCAGTTCCCCCGCCTGGGGAGCCGTGCGGCACCTCCCCACCCCAGCTCACCTCTGCTCTGCCTCCTCCCCAAGCACGCCGCCCCCGCTCTAATTCTCCTCCCAGGCTTGCGGCGCCAAACAGCTGATTGGCGCCGCAAGCCTGGGAGGCGGGAGAAGTGGAGCAGCGACGGTGTGCTCGGGGAGGAACGCTGTAAAAAAAAATTGGGGGCACTGCTTTTTGGCGCCCCCAAATCTTGGCGCCCTAGGCAACCGCCTAGTTCGCCTTAATGGTAGCACCGGCCCTGGAGATGTTGCAAAGTTATTCTGCAGGGTGGTGGGGGAAGGAGGAAGATCTTAGGCAAGTAGATCCAGATCCACAATGTATTTAGGCTCCTAACTTCCACTGAAATCAGTTAGGAGCCTAAGTACTTTGTGGGTCTGGCTATAGTTACCTGCATCCAGGCACCTCTGCAGCTCCTTGCTCACATGAGCTGCTCCATTTCCCCACCTACGGCATGCAGCCTGCAGGAGGTCCGCTAGCTCTGAGAATAATTCTCCTATGTGGATCTGTGGCGTTTGCTCCCCTCCAGAGCAGTAGGGTCCCCTGCTTTCTGATCAGTGCTATGCAGTGTCCCCTCGCCATGGTTACTATGAAGAAACAGGTGTGGTCGTACTTGTCTACCTTGCATATCTTTTCCTTTGAGTTCTGAAACAGAAGTGCTGCCCAGAGGAATTCTGCATTTCTTCCCTGGCTGCCAGGGAGGAACCTACTCCACACCAATTCCATCACAGATTGAGACGTCAGAAGAAAGGAGGGTGCAATTCAGTGGCAGAGCCAAGAATGGAACCCAGGAGTTCTGACTACGCACCCCCTGCTCCAGTCACTAACCCACACTTCTGTTCTTTTAATTTTTGAAGAATTAGGCCCCAATTCCCATAAGCAGCCAGGGATTTTGCGTGACTCCAACCTGAAACGACCAACGCCTCATTTTCAGAAACCCTGAGCACGTGCAGCTCCCACTGATTTCAGCTGCCATTGCAGGCCCTGAGCTCTTCTGATAATCAGACCACCAGTGTCTCAAGTTGGGTTCCAAATATCAAGTCACCCAAAATCACTGGCTGCTTTTGAAACGTTGGGGCTTAATTTACAGAAGCGCATGTCCCGAGCTCTCTGGGCACCTTCGCAAATACATGTCTGAGGGAATGCCTTAGGAAAGGTTCCACGACTGAGTTTTATTCTAAAGCAAACACCTGCTTCACTCACCACGAGAGATCAGAGCACAAAAGGCCATGCATGCCCCATTTGCAAAACTGGGTACTCTCTGCAGAAGATGCTCATCTTCTTCCTCTTTCTGAGTAGCCCTTTACTCTATAAAGCAGGGATCGGCAACCTTTGGCACGCGGCTCGCCAGGGTAAGCACCCTGGCG